AGATGAATCAAACTGGGAGAGGCGTGGCTCCTTCATTCTTTTTCCCCCAACTTTTGACATGGGTATAAGACATGGTAAAAGTATTTTACTTCCCTCTTTACCATGAGAAATACAAGAGCAAGGACATTTGGTCATGGCTGTGTCCTCAGCTCCTACAAGTGCCTGGCACCTACTAGGCGCTCATAAATGTTTGTTGAACCACTGAAGGAGAAGAATGGCCCTGGATGTTGGGGGGTGGCAGGGACTATAGTGAACCCTGGCTGAGGGATCAGGAGGCAACTCGGCTCCAGTCGATTGTTGTCAGATCACCTGGAATCCAGACTTTTATATACATCTCCAGTTTTTTTTATCATAGCAACTAATTCACAAGAACTAAAAATATGCAGATCAGTTTGTAACCACTGTTCTCTGCCGAGGGCGCTCACCTTGAGCCAGCAGAGTGGGCCTCCCCCAGCTCAGCCTGGGTGCGGTGCTCTTCCTATAGGGACAGGAGGCTGGAGGTGGGGAACTGGGCTCTTACCCCTGCTGCCCACCTCTGTTGCCTCTGCAGGAAGGTGACGCTCTGGGTGCCATGGAGAAGCTGTGCCGGCAGCTGACATACCATCTCAGCCCCCACTCCCAGTGGCGGCGGCACCGGGGGCTGGTGAAGAGGAAGCCACAGGCCTGGTGAGTCACAGTCACCTGCATTGGGTCTGCCCTGCCCCTCTGCCAGTCTCCCTCTGCAGCCCAAAGACAGCCTATGTCAGGCTGGGTGTCTGATACACAGCACCCCCTCCCAGGACAGTGGGGCAAAGGCAAGAGCTGCACCAGAGGGGGTTGTCTTGGAATGCTGCCTGAAGTAGGTGAGATGGAAAGACAATTCTATGGTGGGGAAAGCAGCCAGGAGAGCACTCCAGGTGAGCATGAGCCATGTAAGGCCCTGGAGGCAGGGCCCTGCTCTGTGGGGTGGGGGCTGGGGGACATGGGCCCATTCTGAAGAATGGGCAGGGTGGGTGTGAGTTTCTGATTCCTGGTGTACTGCACTGAAAGTGAGCATGCTCACTGATTGCCCCCAGTTCTCTTGGTTTTCCCCCAGGGGTACCCAGACCCAGGCATATCCCTGGTCCATGCAGCAGTGAGAACCCTCAGGGGATTTGTGGCCCCCTGAAGACTGGGGGAGCACCTGGGACACAGAACCTGTGGGATATGATAGGAAGCAGGTGGAGAGGAAGCTGAAAGGAGGACTTTCTGGAGGAGGAAGCACCCCTGCCTCTCTTGTGAGTGCCATGGGGCATAGAGCCTTCCCTTCTGAAAGATGGGCTGGGCCTTGCTGCTGCCGTGGGCTCATCCTCCCAGGTCCTGTAGCTGGGGAGAGGCCAGGCTGACCCTCTTTCCTTATGGACAGCTCTGCCCCACAAGCCAGGGAGGAGGTGGGTTCTGGGGAGGCCTCCCCAAGTGGAGGAAGCGAGGCTCCTGCTGAGCTGAGGGCAGGGCCATATTTGGGACAGAGCAGGACAGGAGAACCCATGGGACCTAGAAGGCCACAAGGAGACTTTGAGAGCTAGTTCTTCAAGATCGAAAAGCAGAGCTCTGTTGGAGTCCAGGGGCCTCTTCTCCTGTCTCCCCATCACACACATGTGCTCAGTCCATTCTTTATTCAGAAACCTCGCTCCCCTCAATTGCTTCTGGCATGTCGAGTGAAACACAAATAGGGCCCTATGTGGTGGGTCCTCAGTCCCTCTGTTCTCTCTGCTCCCACTCTCCTATGTCCCCTGCCCCTCTTTCCATCCTGCTGGTCTCAGACACCTCAAGGTCGTTCCCACTTCAGGGCCTTTGCACCTGCACTCCCTCACTAGAACTCTCACCAAACCCTGAAGGCCTACTTTTTTCTTTGACTGTCACCTCAAAAGCTGTCTCCTTAAAGATGCCTTCCCAAGTGGCCATACCCCCAAGCTTCTCTGGCTTTACTCTCAGATTGGTCTGCTTGTTGGCCAGGCCCTCTCTGGCAGAATGAAAACAGGAGTCTTGTCCACCTGGTTTAGCACTGTGGCCTCAGTGCCTAGGGCAGCCCCTGGCTCCTAGTGGGAGCTTAACAAATACTTGTTCAAGGATTGACCAAGATCAGGGCTATTACTGTTGCCATCTGACTAGCCACAATCAGTCAACTGCTAAGTGGCAGGGCTGGAATCCAGCCCCAGGCTCAGGCTGTTAACCACCACACTACTTGTTTCCCTGGTGCGATAGGCCTGCTTTATTAATAACATAGACAAGAATTACAGCCAGCACTTAAATCACGCTAGACAAATACCAGGCAGTGTTCCAAGCCCTTAGATGCCATGCCGTGAGAGCTTTACCTTATACTCCCTGGGGCAGGGCAAGATGAGCAAACTATTGGTGGCCTTCCAGCTTCAGGAGATCCCAGGGTAGGGGTTTGCTCAGCTCAGGCTATTAACAGCCCCTTCCTGCTCCCTCTCCTTCCCAGCGTTTGGCCCTCTGGGCTTGCCTGTGATACCTGAAAGTAGAGGGCTGTGGCCCCAGAACAAAGAGCAGGGGAAGAAAGCAAGGGATGGCACAAGGCAGGGAGCAAAGAGCACCCCGCCTCCAGGAGTCAGCAGCTCCCACCTGGCTTGGAGCTCCCTGACCCTCCCCTGCCCGCCGTCCTGGGGGGATCTGCCTAAGGATCCCCGTCTGGTGGGGAACATGGCCTTGGAAAAGGATGCATCAGAAATCTTGTCCCTCTTGCAGAAGCAGGAAGCTCAGCCCAGGTGATTACTAAGGACAACAGCAATTTATCCATCACTCACCGAAACCAGGCACTGTTTTAAAGGCTTTGCATTTATTGATTTACTTCACATAACAATCCTGTTGCACTCAAATAGCTCCATTTTCCAGGAAAATAACTGAGGCACAGAGGTTAAGGACCTAACTAAAGGTCACACTGAGTAGGAAGGAGTTAAGATGCAAACCCAGGCATTATGGACCCAGAATGTACCCTTCATCACTGCAGAAACACTTGGGTGTTTCCCTTGTGGCCCCTTGCGCTCTGGCCAGCTGGGCCTGGCCAGGCTGAGATGTGGGGTAGAGCCAGGGGACCAGGGCTGTTCCCGCCCATCCCTGGAGCGGAGACCACGATGCTAGCTCTGCTGCACTGGGAGAAAAGCCCTGCCCCACCTACCTGAACCTGTTTGTCCCTTCTCCCCTCCAGTCTCAAGGCTGTCCTAGCTGGAAGCCCACTGGACAACACAGTAGACCTATCGGGCATCCCACTGACCTCCCGTGACCTGGAACGGGTGAGCAGCTACCTGCAGCGCTGTGGGGAGCAGGTGGACAGTGTGGAGCTGGGCTTCACAGGCCTCACAGATGACATGGTCTTACAGCTGCTGCCAGCACTCAGTGCACTGCCCCACCTCACCACGCTGGCCCTCAATGGCAACCGGCTGACCCGAGCCCTGCTGCGTGACCTCACTGACACCCTTAAGGACCCCAGCAAGTTCCCCAGTGTCACGTGGATTGACTTGGGCAACAACGTGGACATCTTCTCATTGCCCCAGCCCTTCCTGCTCAGCCTGCGCAAGCGCTGCCCAAAGCAGGGCCACCTACCCACCATCTTGGAGTTGGGCGAGGGCCCAGGCTGTGGAGAGGAAGTCCGGGACGGAACAGTGGGCAAAGAGGACCCTGGAGGGGAGCTTCTGGCTCCTGCCGAGGACTATGAGGGCAGGGAGACCACAGGTACAGCTCAGACGTGACACGAAGTGGGGCCTTGTGGGGTAGGGTGGCTGAAGTAGACTAACAGCTCCTACCAGGGCACTCAGGCCATTACCTAACACAGGCCTCGGCAACCCACCCATGGGAAAGCCAAATTGCAGAACCTGGAAAAGGCAGGTTGTGTAATGCTTCTCACTGGTCTTCCCTCTTCCCCCTTGTTACCTTTGTTTGGCTGCTGAGAAGCTATCCTTGGCTCAAAAGAATCAATCCTCAGCATTCCAGGATTTAGGGAGTGGGTATGCTGGTAGCCTAAGATGTGAATGGGTTGTTTAAAGCTCTCTCCCAGGAGTGTAGTTGGGACCCTACATCCAACCCTGGACTTCCCAAATTCTACATTACAGTTGTCCTGTTCAGGGTAGCAAACTCCAGGCAGGTAGATGCTAACTGTGCCCCTGCTCCAGGCATGTCGGAATCTTAGCAGCGCTTCTGAGTGAAGGAGGTTGGGGTAGGGGACTGGCCACCAGGTTCCAGGAGCTTAGACTCCCTGTAAACTATGAACTGAAAGCCATCCACCTCATGGAGCCATAGGCTCCTTTTAACTGACTTTGCAGTCAGTCTCTGCCCTCATACCCGTGATTCCAGAGGTCTGCCTGTGAAACCAGCCACCTTTCGAGTATCCCAAGGTGGCTGGGACAGACGCATCAAAGGCCACTGCAAAACCCTATGCCATAATCACTCTACACACCACCACAGATGACCAGACTGTCATTCCCAGTGTTGCCCCGTGCAAGCCAGAGCACTGCCTCTTTAAATGGGGTCTAAGGATGCTTTTCCCATAAAGTTCCATGAGTCCTAAGTATCCTTGGCACTTTGAGCACATTCCCAGAACCTACTATGGAAGGCTGTTATCAAACACCAAGGACCAAAATGGTGCTAAAAGCACTCCTATGAATTCACTGAAGACCTGCCTCCAAAGATGGCTAGGGGGAGGAAAACTAGGCCCCCAAAAGCCAAGGTTTTCACCCACTGTTACCTATGGCCTATCATTATTAAAAAAACCACCACTAACAGCAACATGGGGGCTAGGCTGAGAGGCAGGCTAGACAACACAACTTCAGGAGTTACTAGAGGAAGGCTAGGCAGAGGGGACAGAGCCCAGGGGAGCTAGGGACTGGACTGGAAATATATGGATGCCTTAAATGCTTTGGAATTTTTGCCCTCCAAGTCTAAAGAGAACTTAGACCACAGGAAAGCTGACAAGTGGAATGCTGATATTTGACAGCAGTGGTCAAACTAACTCTTCCTTCAAATACACATTTTAAGAAACAATACCAAAGGCCATCCTTTATTATGGATGTTAGTTTATGGTAACCACACATGGATATCAGGAGGAAGTTTCCAGCTTAAACAACTCAGACCCTTGCCCAATATAACAAATACAACATTAAAATGTACAGAAGCTCCTTTTGACCGGGACAATCAATACCAGAAAACTCATGAATTTAATGATGCCAAAGTGCTTGTCCTATGCAAAGGTTGCTAAATCCATTTCTTGGCCCTACTGTTGGTAAGAATGTCCTCTCTGATGCTTAACATAAGGTGAGAATGTTTCTACTGTGAATGTTGAAGCCTAGGGTTTCCGAGTCAAGGTTGTCTAGGTTGTACTGGTCCTGGCGACTTCAAATGCTGCCCCTGCTGCAGCACGGCTGACCATCCTCTGGAAACGTGGTCTGCAAAGAAACTTAAGTGTCAGTCATACTCTCTGCTCCCAACAACAGTCATTCACAGCCTAGGACATCCTCAGAAAACGGTAGATTCACCACCACACAATCTGCCGGTAATTCCAGCTATTTTGGGTGATATCATCATTTGATATCCTTTATTAAATTGCAACAGAACTAGCTGCTCATTCATTCTACTATGGGGCAATCACTATCCAGATGAATTCTTACCTCTTCCCAGGGGAGCTGCCGCTACCACCATCACCAGCTTTCAAAGTGCACTGCTGATCACCACCCTTCACACTCAAAATCTAGGGGACTGAATAAAGAACATAGTTAGCTGATGTAGTTCTGATCCTAATAGCCTCAACTATGAATTAAAGTCAGTCCATTTTAACAAGAGTCCTTAAGAACTTAGTTCTAACTGGCTTTTTGGGCATTGAATGGCCATTTAGTCAGTATTTTAAACATCACAAACCCAATTTTTAGAATGAGAGAAACCACATCTTAGAGCAGACAGTCAGTTTGCTCAGGACTATATAGCCATAAAGTAAAAAGGAACTCCTAGGTCCATGCTCAACCACTAACCTCTACCTGCCAGACCAAAGCTTACCTCAGGCCAGGCCAATGCCTCTCACTCTAACACTCAGCTCTTGCCAGTCCTTCATTCATTTGCAACCTGGGTACATAAAAACATTAAGGGTCACAGTTCAGAACTCACTCCCGGGCACCAGCAGCCTGAGGACTTGTAGACTGCAGTCAGTCAGGAGTTATCGTCATTTATCGATTCTGACGGCACTTCCTGTTAGTGATCTCATCAGAGCAGCCAAGTTCCCCACAACTCTCAGGTCTGCTCCAGGGCTCTGCAAGTTACCCGTAATTTAACAATGCCTGAACAGCCAGGAGACATTTGAATGCAGTTTGTTTATGCATATAGGCGCGATTTAAATACTTTCAGGTTGGGGGCTGCCACCTCCTAGCCATTGCAGTTATGCAGTGATGTAGTGCATAACAAACACATAAAAATACAACTGTAATATCAGGCGATTTCAGTGCATCTAAGGTAGCAATACAGCTAAGTTCCATGTTATTTCCTACCTAGACCAAGTCTTACCTCAAAGTGGGATGCTGCTCCCGTCTTCCGTACTCGTCAGTGGGTCTGTCATCTGAAATATGAAGACGGACATGCATTTAGGGTAGATTCCGGCAGTTACAAGGAACTAAACTATTGAGGTTTCAGCGACTGCAATCAGATGAATATAAAAATCGTCAGTTATCGCATCTGACGGCACTTCCTAATGTTAATATCATCAGGACAGTCAAGCAAGTCTTCCTCGTGGTCCCCAGTGCAGGAAGTCCCCCACTTACCCTGTTCTCAGACCTGATCATTCCCAAAGGCGAGCCCACGGAAAGGGGTCCTGGCTTTCAGGGACCTCAGGCTCACTGGAGGCGGGGACCCTGCGGGACAAGCACGCGCCCCTCTGCTCTCCTCGCACGCCGGCAGCGTGGCGCGGCCCTGGTGGGCTGCGGCAGCCACAACGCCCACCCCGAAGCCCACGTGCGAGCAGCCGCTCTCTGATTAGGCTTCCCGAAAACATCCTCCCAAAGTTAGAAAGGCACTAGGCCATTCGCCCTTCCCACCAGCTACGACCCGCCATATGCAATGAGTCCTCTTCATTAACAGGTTTCAGTGAAAGAGGCGGTGCCTGCGGTGGCCGAGGCCCTTAAGGAGTTGGGACATTCCACTCTTCCCAGAAGGGAGGGTGATACCGGCAAAGACTCACGGGAACTTCCACCTCGTTTTACCAGACAACCGCCGCAAGGCCTCCCCTGTCTGTACAGTCATGGTCTCCTCCTCGGCCTGGGGAATTCTGGGCCACATGCGCGGCGACGCCCAGGGCGCCTGCGCAAGCTGCAGCGCGCTGCGGCCGAGCGTGTAGTCGTCTGGGTGTGCCGTCACTCTGGTGCGTGCCCTTGAGTGTTTCGCTTGTCTTTTGTGAGGGTCCCATTGCTCTTCAGGAAAGTGGAGAAACCGCGGCCTAGAAGGTTGTTGTGAGGATCACACAAGATAAGATCTTTGAAACCCTGCAGAGCCTTGGCAGGGCATACAGCGAGCCAGTCTGCTTCCAATTCACAACTCTGAAAATACACACAGAGCCTCGCAACTGCGCGCACTCACTGCTCACATCTCTATAGAATGGCCTCTGAGGACAGGGCAGCCATCCTGCCTCCCCCTCCCCTTTGCTGATTCACCAGGGCTTCTCCACCCCATCCTCCCGTGACCCCACAAGAATCGGCCCAGAGTGGGTCTGCCGAGGGCCGACTGTAGCATGTGTGCCTTGACTTAGTATCGGAAAGACCACGCCATGAGTTCAGTGACTAACGGTGCGTTTATTAAAGCTGAGCACAGTGAAACAAGGGAATGCTCAGCATAGAAAAAGCAACCGGAGAGCCCAGGCTGGGCTGCCTGAGCTCTCTGAGAAGCCAGAGAAAAAGGGGCCTTGGGGACAGCTTCAGGGGATCAGCCTGTGACAAGCTGCCCAGCTGTCCACTGCCTTAGAGTTTAGGAGATGCGTGCCTGTGGGCAAAGACATGGGGGACTAAGGAAAAGGGAATGGCCCAGGGCATGCTGGGTCCTTTGCCTTAAGGCTTTTATCTCTCTCGCAGGCAGGACTCTTAAGGAAGGTCTCAGGGCAGGGTTTCAGTAGAACATTCATCAGTTTTCCAGGTGGGACTTTTCAGGGTCCTGGTCTCCACTGATTGGTCAGTGCCAGGGCAGGGAGTCGTTAGTTATTGCATAGGTTCTGACAGCACCCACCTCGTGTTGCTGCTTTTCTGGGTCTGGAGCTGAAATACAAATGAGGCCTAGATATTATCTCCAGGGAGGAGAGGCCTGGGGAGGAAAGGTTACCCCGGAAGTGCGGGTCCTTGTTTCCCAGTTTTGCTCCTGCCAGGCCTTCCCCTCCCCCCAGGGTCTGCTCCTGGCTGTAATTAATTGCTTTGCCATTGTGTTTAGCTGTCTGTCTCAGTTTCCCTAGTCCACTGGCCAAGGACTTCTCCTGTCCTCTTACTATCCTGTCTCACTCCTATCTCAACAGCAATGGAAACCTCTGCCTTCCGTTCAGCATAGGAACATGCTCATGTCTTTCCCACTTAAAAAAAAAAAATGCAATTGTGCATGCACATTATATGAACACATCACCCCCAAGGGGGAGCAACTCATTTTGACTGAAGTAAATTTGAAAGCCTATCATGAGACAATTCTTGAGCTGGTCTTAGAGTAATTATGGAGAGAGGGAATTTCAGAGAGCCAAGCCAAGGGATCAGACATGCTTGAGGTCTATTGGCTTATGTGGAGAATGTACTGAAAGAGCTGGCCGGGCAGGGGGCTGGAGTGGGGCAGGTAGCAGAGGTATGGGAGAAGCAGTGTCTAGAAATGCTCAGGCAAAACTGCAGAGGGCTAAGGATGCCATCCGGTGTGTCCTGTGCATACTGGGGACCCCCTCAAGCCTTCAGAGCATAGAGGTACCGTGTTTGTGTCAGAACATCCCCTCTGGCTGCTCTGCAGAGAATGGCTTGCATGTATGTAAACTGAGCAGGAAACCCAGTAGGAACAGAAAGCAATAATCCAGAGTCTAAACTAAGCTGAACTGCTCAAAGGCTTTGAAGAGACCTGTTGGAGGTGGCTTTAAGGGGGGTCTGGAGGCTGTGGGAAGGGGAGGAGAGTTGGCTATGCTTGCCCATGTCCACCACCTCCCACCTGCCATAATAGCAAGCCGGACACCTTGGCCAGGACACCGCTGATGAGGGTCCCCTGTGCCAGGTGAGCGCAGAGCAGTCCAGCCCTGGACATAAGCTTGTGCTCACAGTTATGCAAATGTCAGTCAGCCTAAGGGCCCTGAAACTGCTCAAAAATGTTTTCAGGAGAGTTAGCCATGAGAAAGCCATATTTATTGATTTGCCACCAAAGTTCCCTAGGGCCCCAGAGCCATCAGGTAGGGCTGGAAAGATGTCCTAGGTCTGTCCTGCCAGCTTCCTGCTGCATCCAGGCCATTAGCTGGACTGCAGGACGTGAAGGGGAAGATGGTCCTCCTCCAAGGTACTGTCCTCCTCGGGTTGGGAGGCCAGGGTGGGGTTCTTCATGGTGCCTGTAAATAGGAGAAAGAGCACTGTGACTTGGCCCTAGGGGTATGTCCCCAGGAGGCAGGCACTAGGAGAACAGGAGAAGGCCACAATTATGAAGCCACATCATGCCCTGTGGACATCAGGGGATCCTGAGGTCCCCAGCAACCCTTCTCCCTGCCTCCCTCCTTCCACAAGCATTCCTGAACCCCTGCCCTGTGCCAGTGGAGGGCCTCCTCCCAGGAGCTTAAAGTCTCTGGAGGTAACAGGCTTTTTCATTAGAAGTGAGAACACCTAAAACTTGCTGAAGAGCTGGAGGGAAGTGAGAGTTAAGTGCTCAGGGAGCTCATAGGAGAGAAGGGACACAAAAGGAGATAAGGGACCTAAACCATAGGGGAGGCAGCAGATTTGGACAGCCAGAGGAACAGGAAGGGCACTTGTGGCAGATACAAGAGCTAACGCAAAGAACAAGGAGCACTGTCAACGGACTAGCTGACACATGGAGAGGGGTGTGGGGAACGGGTAGGACAGTGGCCTTGCTCCTTGACCTGCATGCTGAAGAGTGTAGCCCTCCAGGGAGTAGGGGCTGAGTGTACTTTTGTCTACACAGAGGAAGAGGAAGAGGAAGGGGATAAACCTGGAGCAGGGAGACTTGTCTGGAGGTCGGGGTGCAGGCTGAGCAGCCCTACAGTGGTGCAGAATCAGGAGAAATGGGGGATGCAGAGGGTCAAGGGGCTGCCCGTGGTGTCTGGAGGACACCCAGCACAGATTGGGGGCTGGGGGAACAAGAAACCCTCAAGGCCTCCCGCCTGGGTGAGGAGGGGGTAGAGTTGTAGTTACCTGGTAGGGCAACCCCAAGGTTGCTCCTGTTTGGGGATGTCAGCTGGAGGCCCCAGCAGGTAGTGGGGTGTGGAATTGGGGTGTGGAATGAGGAGCAAGTTGACTTTCAGAATCTTGGCAGTGAATCGACAGGAAAACAGGGCTCAGAATTAAGAACAAAGCAAGGGTGTGCAGGAAACCTATGGGTTTGTGAGGGCCTGGGTCAGGGACCAGAACCTGGGAAACCAGTGGGCTTTGGAGCAGGAGGCCAGAGGAGTCCCCACCACAAGGAGTCATGGGTGGTGCAGGAGGCCATTGTGGGAGGGGGTTGGGCCAGAGGCACAAGCAAGTAGAGTGTCTTTGAAAGAGAATGAGAAAGGGGAGGAGGAGCTAGCAGAAAATGAGGTGGGAGTTATTGAAGGTTCCAGGAAGGGTATGCTGTAGACAGAACTAATTCTCAGAACAGGCCTCTGGATGGGAGGAAGGAGTCACTCACGGTGGGAAGTAGCAGGGTGAGGACAAGGCAGGATACTACCACACTGGCATGAGGAGGATACAGGCCCTGAGGGGCAGGAGGGGCACAGGCAGTGGCTTCCCCTCCCAGGTATGGGGGGCTGGAGGTAGGAAGAGGCTGGGTCCTCGGATCAGCAAGGCTGACCTGGACAGAGCCGGTCGGGGCTCCCAGAGATGCCACCTGAGCTATGAGCTGGGTAGGGCACCTTCCCTAACTTATTGCCCTGCTGGGTCCCCAGGCTCAGCGCAGGCCTGACACTTGAATGGGCACAAGGTGCAGTAGGTTGAAACCTGCTGGGAGGAGGGGTGAGGATGAAGAGGCAGGAGTGAGGAAAAGCTGAAGGCTAAACCAGCAAGAGCACTAACAGCCTCAGAGGTTTTCCCAGGCCAGCTAAGAGGTGAGGGCAGAACAGACAGTGGGGAAGCGCCACTTTAAGGGGGGCAATTTCTTTAAATGAGTGTAACTGGGGAGTGGCCAGAGCAGAGGCCCTGTCCCAGAACCTCCGTGGCTGTGTGGCCAACCAAACACACACACACACACACACACACACACACACACACACACACACACGTGAAAATGCACATGCAAACACGTGCATGTGAACATACACATGAGAACACAAACACTGTCTCACTAGGGCTACTCACCAAGGTTGGGCCCTGTAGGTTCCTCAAACACTGTAGGCAGCGTCTGCTCCCAGGCAGCCCAGTTCACTTCCTCCACCCTGAGGGCAACAAAGCAGCTCTGAGGCAGCCAGGCCCTCACAGTGCAGTCTGCTTGGCCCCAAGGAGTGCCCTGGCCCCTGAGTGGGTAGACTCAACAGACAGTCTGGGAGACACAGGGACTGCAAGGAGGATGGGGTTCTCTGCCCTTCTCCACAGGACACGGAATCCCCCACCATGCCCCTAGTCCTGCCCTTGCAGCTGTCCCCTGGCTTTCAGAGGAGAAGGCTGGTCTTCACCAGCCGCCCTTCCTGGCCGTTCACTCACCTGAAGCACCAACGTTCATCTGGGCTACCATCTGGCCTGGTGCCAACTGTCAGCTTCACACCTGCCCGCTGCTTCTTCCTTCTGCACCACCAGTAGCCATTCTCCATCTCCAGGACAGAGATGGCTTTCTGGGGACAAAGGACACATGAGACAGAGCAGCCAGGAAGCTGTGCCATGCACTTGACAGTATAACCCCAAATCCACTAAGCACGCAGGTTGGAATCAGGCTCCAGTGTTTGATTGCCTACATGGTGTTAGGCCCTCAGCGCCTCAGTTTCCTGCCTTACAGTCTGAGGATAATGTGCCTGGTGGTTTGGGGAGGTCACTGTGTAGCTCAACAATTACTTGCTATTGTATCATTACAGGTCCCAGAATTTCACACCTCTAGGTGCACAAGTTCATTTGCTCCACCCTACATGTGTGCCTGCCCACTTGTGTGAGTCAGGTGGGGGCAGAAGTTTGCAGGTGAGGACACGGAGTCTCAGAGAAGATGGGCTTACCCAAGGTGGACAGTGAAGTGGGAATACAGTCCAGCCACCTGGGCAAGGCCTTCCCTACAGAAACTGTCCAAACCCACACGTGGCCTTGCCCAGGCCAAGAAGCAGCTTTTGCTTCCTCCCCTGTAAGTGGGTGTCATATCAGCCCCCAACTTCAGGGACCTCTGGTCCCCCGACTTCCTCAAGCTGAGCCAGCCCCAAGAGTGCACAGCCTGCCTGCCTCACCCACCAAATCGACTCATTTATCATGCAGTGAACACAGAATGGGAGCTACATGAGGGCAGACTTTATCTTGTTCTCTGTTGTGTGTTTAGAATCTAAAACTGTGTCTATCCCCATAGAAGACACTCAAGAAACACTTAATGATAATAACTAACACATTGAGCACCTACTGTGTGCCAGACACTGTTCTAAGAGCTTTAGATGTATGAGTTTACTCATTCCTCACAGGAACCCAGGACCCTGGATCTGCTGTAAGGGACCAGCTCAGGAGGGTCCTACCCACTCCTCCCTGGGCCCAGAACTTGGGGACAGGGAGGGGAACCTCCCAGGGACACCTGCAGTTTCCAGATGCTCCAGCTGTCGGTGGCGACACTGTTGACAGTCTCACTCATGAGGGCGATGAGCATGTTGAGCAGCAGGATGTAGGTGAGCAGCACATAGGCCAGCAGCAGCAGCAGCACAACCCCACGGAAGCGCAGCTGCTCCTGGAAGGCCAGCTCGCCCATGCCGATGGTGAACTTGAAGAGCTCCAGGGAGGCGTCCAGGATGCCACTGTATGAGGCCGAGTTGCCCTCCTCGTCCTCCTGTCCTGCCCCGGGCCTCACTGCCTCTGTGGCATTTGAACTTGTGGGGACCCCTGGGCCCTGAGCCTCCCGGCTCAAGCTCACTAGGGCTGTAGGAGGGTAGAAGGGGGTCCTCAGCCTCAGAGACCAGTGGGCAGACTTAAGGGTTTGCAGGGCAGGCAAGGGATGTGCAGGGGCCAGAGGGGAGCCTTTACCTACAGCGAAGCCGAAGAGGAAGACTAAGTAGACGAGAAGGAAGCGAAGCAGGTCCCGCAGAATAACCTGGAACACAAGCACCAGGAGCTGGGGTGGGTGACTGGGCCACCAGACCCCTGCCTTGGCCTTGAGCCCATGCTCAGGGCCTACATGCATATGACACATACACACGTGTGTGTGCATACACAGGGCCCTGTGCAGCTATACTGAGCCAATGGATCTTTTTAAAATCTACATCAGATCACATAATTGTCCCGCTTCAAACCCTCCAGGTCAAAAAATTAAACATAGTTACCATATGATTCAGTAAGCCCATGTCTGAGTATACAACCAAAAGAATTGGAAGTAGGAACTCAAATAGACATTTGTACACTCCAAACTTCATAGCAGCATTGTTCACAACACCAAAGGGTGGAAACAACCCAGGTGTCCACTGATAGATGAAAGGATAAACAAAATGTGGTATATCCGTAAAACGGGATGTTATTCAGTCTCAGAAAGGAAGGGAATTCTGACACATGTTACAGCATGGATGAATCTTGAGAATATTATGCTGAGTGAAATAAGCCAGTGACAAAAGGACAAATACTGTGTGATCCCATTTATACGAGGTACCTAGAATAATCAAATTTACAGAGACACAAAGTAGGCTAGTTGCCAGGGGCTGGGGGGAGGGAGTGCTTCCTGGGGACAGAGTTCCGGTTTGGGGCAGTGAAGGTCCTGGGGATGAAGGATGGGGAGGGCTGCACAGCAATCTGACTGTGCCTGATGCCACTGAACTGTGTACACTTAAAAATGGTTAAAATGCCCCTGGCTGGTGTGTGACTCAGTGGATTGAGTGCTGGCCTGCAAACCAAAGGGTCATAGGTTCAATTCCCAGGCCAGGCACATACCTGGGTTGCAGGCCAGATCCCCAGTAGGGGGCGTGTGAGAGGCAACCAAACATTGATGTTTCTCTCCCTCTCTTTCTCCCTCCCTTCCCCTCTGCCTAAAAATAAATAAAATCTTTAAAAAAATGGTTGAAATGATACATTTGTTATGTATATTTTATTTTTAATTTATTTATGAAAAATATTCATAAATATTGAATAAAATATTCAAAAATATTTTTAAATATTTTAAAAAATATTTTAAAACCTCCTGGGCCTCCAGATCTGTCACTATGGCCAACAACTACCTCCCCCCTCCAAACTTCCTCTCCCTCACTCTCCCCAGCCTCCTCAATCTGTCTGAAGCACTCCAATGTGCTTTGACCTCTGGCCTTTACCTTTGCTGTTCTCTGTCTTAAATGCTTCTTCCTTGAGTCTGTGCTGAATCATTCTTTCAGGTCTCAGTTGTCACTTCTTCTGAGATGCCTTCCAGACCCCACTATCTAAAGTACCCACTGCCCAGGTCATTCTTCCTCATACAGCCTATGATGTCCTCATTTGTTTTTTTCAGTGTCTTCATTTTCCCTACTAGAATGTGAGCTTCGAAAGAGCATGGACTGCTCTATTTTGTTAATGAACAAAATAGTATATTCCCAACACTTCAAACACAGCCTGGCCCATAGTATGTACCTCCTAAACATTTGTTGAGTAAATAAATAAATACAGACACATAAATATGCCCAGATGTCCCAGGGCTCAGGCACATAGGTGAGCTTGTGTGCATAATCTCTGCTTCTTCAGTGGGCAAGGATGTGTGTGCTCCCATGTGGACACTTGCAAACACACATGGGCAGGTATTTGCACACCCAGAGCGCAGGTTGCTGAGAGCAGGTATGTGCACACTCATACTCCTGCTTATATTCATCGAGCATCTGGGTGTGTGATGCACATACTCATGTTCTCCTCTGCCCAGGTTAGCTGCCCAGGTTGGCTTCACCTACCTGCTGAAGCCAAAAGGAGTCCTGCTACAGCGTGATGTCCAGCCCACCAAGTCTGGTTGCAGTGAGGCCACCCCGACCTCTCACCTTTTGGATCATGACGCTATAGATGCCTGTGTGCTGGAAGCCACGTGTATAGTAAAGCAGGTTCAGCCAGCCCAGTACCAGCGAGGACACAAGCAGAGGCAGGTACCACTCAATGGCCAGGAAACACAGCACCTGAGACAGCACTGTGAGCAGGGCCTGGACCAGGCTGGGTGGGGACAGAGTATGGGTTAGTTTGCAGGCCATTTGGCAAGGCCCCCTTAGCCTCCACTGGCAAGTGATGACCACCACTGTCTCTCTCACTGCAGACTGAAGGGAGAAGTTCCCCACCTCTCTGGGGCTAGGCCCAGTCAGGTCCTGACCTGCACCCCAGGCAAGTTATTTAACTTCTGTGGGCCTCAGTTCCCTTCCCTGGGAAATGGGGGTAGCAGTAATCACACCTGACTCATAGAGCATTTGTGAGGATTCAGTGAGACAAGACATGTAAAGGGGTGAGGCCCCACTGGTGTACAGGGAAGGCTCAATAAACAATCTATAAGGATGGGAGCATAGAGACCCCAACTGGACAGCTGAACTACTCTCTGGTCCCAAACCCTGGAGCTCTCTGGCCCTGGGTCCTCCCCTCTAACGTCCACTTGGTGCCCTCTGCTACAACCACCTCTCCCAGGCCTGAGGTAAAGGGTGAGTGAGGCCCCACATACAAGAGCATTTCAAAGTAGCTGTCCACGAAGGAGATCCAGATGAACAGCCGGCGCCTCCAGAAGTACCACAGCTGTGGGGAGGGAGAAGGATGGCAGGGAAGGAGGGACGTGTGAAACTTGTTCTTCAGGCCACAGCCCCAAGCTGCTGCCCCTCACCGCCTGGGTCAGGGCTTCCACTTGTTCCCTGTCTTCTGGCTGTTTGGGGGCCAGCTGCAACTTGTCACAGGAGCTCATAAATTTTGCTGATAGCCAAGAAAAATTAAGACCCTATTTCTGAAAAGTACCAACTCCCACAGACACAGAGACAGTGCCAGGGGCCTCCTGACTCCCTCTGGATCCAGATGAAGAACTCACACACTGCATGTGGTTAAGGGGGAGAGCTCCTTTCCCTCCCTCTCCCTGGCCCCTCAGGGACTACTCTGTGCTCCAGCCAACCTGGATTTGGTGCCCAGGTTCTGCCCCCTCTGAGAGAGTCTCCATGCTGCGCCCCAGCCCTGGGACGTGGGGCAGGGCTTCCAGCTCAGTTCCCTGAGAGCAGAGCAGGCACTGCCAAGGAATCATCAGAGCCATGTGCCACCACACAGGCACCCAGGAAGCATAGTAAGGAGGGTACCCAACCCTGCAGGTAAGGCCTTCAGCTGCCCAGAGGCAGGGCAGGATGGGATCCACTACTGGCTTTGCCACGAGTGAAGGTGCTGTTGTTTGCCCTCTCTATGGCTCCTCCTAGCCAAGTTCCAGGTTTGCTCCTGGGCTGGCTGGGAGCCATGTGGAGTGGGGGAAGGGGAGGAGTCCTCACCTGGCCCACGAGGAGGTAGACCCCCCCCAGCAGAATCAGGATGTGGCCCAGCAGCAGCATGGAGTTTCCAGCTGTCACTTTCATGGGGAGGACAGCCTGTGAAGAGACTCTCAGGTAGGACCTAGTGTCCCCTCCCAACACCTGACCTTCTGACAGCCAGAGCTGAGGGCTGTGCGGAGCAGCAGAGGGAACATGCACTCCCTGGCAGGACCCCTTGAGTCTAGCAGTAGTGAGCATGGGAGCGGGAGCCAGACTGCCTGGGCTCAGGTCCCATCTCCACCACGTGCAGCCTCTGCAAGGCCAGACACGTGTCTGAGCCTCTCTGGGCCTCCCTCCCTCAGCTGTGGGCTGGGATGACAGTTCATCATCTCAGAGGGTTGCTGTGGAGCTGAATTCAGTAAGACATGCCAATAAATCAGAATACCTCCTCACATGCAGTGCATACTAAGTATTTTTGTTGTTGTTTGTTCTTTTTTATTTTTCCTGGCACTCAGTGTTAACTGTTACTGTTGTCGTGCCTGCAGTGCTGGCTGCCAACACCCCCCACCACCCCCCCCACCCCCCCCGTCCTTGTCACCAGCTGGGTAGAAATCTCCGAGGATACGCCCCCCCCCTGCCCTGCCCCCACCCCAACCTTGCCTTTTCCAGGGCAGGTTGGTGGTAGACAACAGCAGTGAAGATGAACATGTAGGTCAGGTAACACAGGAAGTTGAAGAAGAACCTGGAGAGAAGTAGGTCCCATTTCGCCTGCAGCAGCTTGTTCAGCGGCTCCAAAACCACCATTCGGTGTCGGTGCTGGGGTGCGAATGTGAGAGTCAGGGTACATTCAGCAGGTACACACAGGGGACCCACTCATGTGTCGGGCTCAGTGCAAGGGCTGAGGGAATGGAAGAGAGAGAAGGGGGAGCCCTGAGTGACACCTCCCCACCTGCCTCCCCCCACCTTCATGGCTAGGCAGCAAGGCCCTCAGTAGTAGCCACCAGGACCCTGGCATGATCCCTGAGTCGGTTGGGACTAGAGTGTGGAATGAGTGTGGTCCCAACGGCCAGGGGCAGGATGTGCAGTCACAACCCCACTGGACAAGAATAGGGCAGGTGAGGTCCCATCGACAGCCTGAGTTGTGGCCCCTGCAGGCTCACCGGGCTCCTGCAATGAAAGGCGATGATCTCCAGCACTGAGTTCTCCTCCCAGCTGTCCACGGAGGCCAGGTCATACAGCGACACGCGGACAGGCCCATAGCACCACTCAGTGAACTTTCGGGAAAGGGGCTGGCATGGCCCTGAGAATTCCCGCTGCAGGATGTGTCTGAAAATCTGCAGGGTGGGTCACGTGAGGTTGGCCTGCCTGGCCACCTCCCAGCACTGACTGGGAGTCTGGGAAATACTCAGCATCCTGCAGAGCTGTGGCTGACACTGGCACATGCCCTGTACACACGGGTCCTTCTGTGTATAAACTCTTCCGTATATCCACACATGCTCAGCCAGGGTAGACATTCCCTCCCATCCACTCACATACGCCCAGGCCTGCCAGCCAGCCTGGGTCTTCCTTCCTCACTCTTGCCCTTGGCCTCTTTCCTGAACTCCTCACGTGGCTGAGGGACCACAGTACAGATCAGAGGCTCTCACCTATGCACATGTGTGCCCTCAAGTGGTTGGAGTCCAGGGCTTTCAACAGAGCAGAAAGGGCCACTAACCTGAACAGGGTAAGAAGTAATTTGTATTCACAAATGAAAACTGGGGAAAAGGAAGGGCCAGACCGGGGAACAGCTGTTAGAGTGCACACAGCAGCCACACAGCCATGCCTCCAGACAACACGGGGAAGTTCCCACACCCCAGGGACCTAAGCAGGAATAAAATAGCAGAACTTCTACTTATGTTTAGACTTTAAAAACTCTTCTGTTCTAAGCTTCTCTCAGGGCTTTGTAAGCTACACAGCCCTGACAATAAGGATAAGCTGATAAGCCATTTGGGAAAAGGTAGAGCTGGATCATGTTTACTCTTTATACCAAAATGACTCAAATTTGAGGCACTAAAAATGAAGCTGCAAAAGTCTGGAAGAAAATATGGATATGGGACACACACACAAGGTTATAGATACATAACCTTGCAAAGGATTAAATAATAGCAAAACTCTAAAGGAAAGGATAACTACAACTTGCATAGATAAAAATATAACAATTCTGTGTGGCAAAAAATACTATAAATTTTTTTTAAATGTTGAACTGGGAGAAAATTTTGAACTGTTAGAGTAAACAAAATGTTAGTATGTTCAGTATAAAAGGCACTTACTAATCAAGAGGAAGAAAACCTAATAGCAAGTCTAATAGCAGAATAGACAAGGGTGTGAAAAGATTGTCTCCTGCCCTGGCCGGTATCTCTGCTGGTCAGTGTCATCCTGACCCACCCAGATTGCAGGTTCAACCCCTGGTCAGGACACATACAAGAATCAACTAATGAATGCATCAGTAAGTAGAACAACAAATTGATGTTTCTCTCGCTCTTTCCTCTCTCTCTAAAACAAATCAATAAGTGAAAAAAAAATGTTAAAAAGCTTAAAAAAGAAAAAGATTGTCTCTTAATCAAGACTTTAAAAAAAAAGAATCCTTGTGTTTTATTGAAAGTTATATATTTTATTAACCAGTGTCACCACAATAAGTTCAATTAAAAAATAAAAATAAAATAGAAAAGATCCCTGTATTTTATAATAGGATATATTAGTTCAGTAGTTCAGATACAGTTCATCAATAAACACACATATTAAGCCAAGGTTGGTGTGGCTCAATGGACTGAGTGCTGGCCTGTGAACCAAAAGGTAGTTGGTTCGATTCCCAGTCAGGGCACCTGCCTGGGTTGCCGGCCAGGTCCCTGGTTGGGGTGTGTGAGAGGCAAACAATCAACATTTCTTCCTCATATCTGTGTTTCTCTCCCTCTCTTTCTCCCTCCTTTCCCCTCTCTCTAAATAAGTGAATGAGTAAATAAAACCTTTAAAAAATAAACACACATTTTAGAAAATGTTCTTACTGATAGGAGTATTTGAGTGAAAAGTGGGGAGCCTACTGATCTAAAGCAACATGCCAGGCTCTTTCTGCAGAAAACAAAGGGTGAGCCCTGCTGCTTCCTGGACAGGTGGGGAGGGGAAGGGGGCCAGCCGCTCACCTCCATCTTGCCTTCCTTGGCAGCCAGCTTCAGGGGCGTGAGGCCCTGCAGGTTGGGGATGTCCTCCAGCTGCACGGTGGGGCAGAGGCGGACTCCAGCTTGAAGGAGCCTGTCGTACATATGGATCACCAGTGCGCTATTCTCAGCCGAGTTGTCTGCAATCATCACCAGCGCGTGCAGGACCGTGTTGCCCAGTGAGTCGGCAGCCTGCAGGTTGGCAGGCTGGTGCTGGTTCTCCAGCAGGTAGGTGACCACATCCCATTGCTTCGTGCATGCCGCCAGAGAGAGGGGCAGCTCACCTGGGGGCAAAGGGGGCAGCTTGGGCCTCAGGTCTCTGAGCTTTCACCTGCTTACTCCTCACATTCCTTGGACAGAAGGCCAGGCCTCCTCCAAGCAAGTCAGGTACCCATGGGAAAGGATGGCACCCTGCCTCGGGGTCCCCCGCCCCATTTAAGGTCACTGTGCCTTCTCCTAAGGGAGCAGAACAGGGGCCAGCCCCCAGGGTCTCCATCTCCCCTCTTTCTCCTCTTCAACAGAGCCCAGGCCCACTGCTGCCTGACACAGATGCCTTCATTCAGTCAGTCCCTGTCTGGTTGACTCTTGTCACACACCAGTTTTAGCAACCACTCCCTAACCCTGGTCAGGGCTCCTTGGCCAGACAAAGATAAACATCTCTTAAGACAAACTTCTTCTGCAGGCAACCTAGTGGTTAAAAGCATGGGCCTCAGGGTCAGACAGAACTGGTTTTAAGGGCCAGCTCTACCACCCCTTAACCATGTAACACCCCCCACCCTGCCCTCTATGCCTCAATTTAATCAAGAAAGACTCTTCACCAAAATAGAAACAAGCCCCTTGGCTTTTCTTCTGGAAGAATTGGCCACAGGCCCGGGCATGCACATTGGCACCATTCTCCACCAGCAGCTTCACACACTGCAGGCTCCTCTTCTCAATGGCAATGTGCAGGGCACTGTGGCCTCGGTAGTACTCATCTTTGCACTGGGCATTGACCAGGGGCGTGGGATTGCCAGAGTCCCGGTCGATCTGCAGCAGCGGCAGGATGCAGGCATTGGTCCCATCCCGAAGGTTCAGCACAGCCTTCATCAGGCATGTCTTCCCCGTGGAGCCCTCTGTGGGAGAGGGGGAAGGGAAGGGGCATGAGAGTGCTCAGGCCTGGAGCAGCTGGGCTGCCTGCCAGCTTGTACTTAAGCCCAGGCTCCAAAATGCTCCTTGGGAGGATAAAAAAAGATTGCGCAATCATGATGTGGGGTATTAAGGCTCCAGTGACTACCATTTCTGCCCTAGAAATTGTTCCTAAGACATAATTTGCCATGCATGCAAAGCCATCCATACAATAATATTTGGAGTGATGTTTGTTAAGTGGCTTCACCACTTAATGTCTCTGTCTCCACAGTCAAGTCACTCCCTTAGCCTCCCTTCAGCTCAGTTTCCCTCTCTGTAAAATGGGAATGCTCCAGGGTCATTGTAAGGATCAAATGAAATTATATACAAAATGCTCAGCACACAGGGGGCCTGGCACACAGTATATTGAGGCAAGAAACTACAAACAACCTAAATGGCCATTAATAAGAAATTAATTAATGAAATTATGGCAGATCTATGATATGGAAAACTCTGCAGTTGTAAAGTGACTAAGTTACAGGTAAATATACTGAAGCGGAAAGTGCTACAAGATGTAGTTAGTGGGGGGAGAGCACATTACAAATTAGGGTACATGGCGCTACCCCATTTATGTAAATATACACCTAACACATTTAAATAGTTTGAAAAGATGTATTCACAGGGATCCAGGATGACAGACTTTTTACCCTCAGCTTTATACACTTCATTGCTCTTTGAATCTTCTAAAATGCACACATTATTTTTCTAATCAGCACAAATAATAAAGATATTTATATTTGGGGAAAAGAATGCTCTGAGATGGATAAAATATTAAATATATGAGATGAATATTTGGAAGAAAGAAAGAAAGAGAGGAAAAGATAAAGAAAGGGGATGCATTGAGGAGGCCCACAAGCCCAGGCTTGGTGTGGGGGAGCAGGGGCAGGCCAGGAGCTGGTGGGCTGGTTGGAAGTGGCAGGCACAGCCCTGACAGTGAGGTAAGAAGGAGCTCTTGGCTCTGTCAGTAGGGCCCCCGTAGCTATTTCAGCAGGAATATCCACTGCTAAGAACATATCCCTTCAAAAAAAGAGAGAAAGCCCTGGCTGGTGTAGCTCAGTGGACGGAGCACAGGCTGAGAGCCAAATGGTCGCTGGTTCAATTCCCAGTCAGGGCACATGCCTGGGTTTTTGGCCAGGTCCCCAGTGAGGGGTGTTCAAGAGGCAACCCCACACTAATGCTTCTCTCACTCTCTTTCTTCTTTCCTTCCCCCTCTCTAAAAATAAATAAATTCTTAAATAAATAAATAAATAAATAAATAAATAAATAAGAGAAAACACTTGCCCCTTGTCTCCTAAGCATGGTCAAGTACCACCCAGCCTGTACAGTCTCAGCACAGTGGGCAGACACAGAGCTCTGGCCGAAGGGCAGGCCTACCTGTGTACTTTGTGTCAGTCAGGTACTTGGTGGTACGGCGCAGGTACTCTGGTAGCCCAACCAGATCCTCAGGGACACCCCGGGCAACCACACTGAAGAGACGGTCACGGTCAAAGCAGTTTGGGTCCAGCTGGCTGTAGGAATGTGGTTTGTGACTGATGCTATAAAAGAGCCACGTGCCGCCCAGAAAGCTCCCCATCCCACAGAACCCTTTCTGGAAGCCCTGTGAGCACTGTGTACCCTGAAGTTCCAGGAGTCCCACAGGAGTCTTCGTAAGGGCCTCTGCCCCCCCAGAGCAAACCAAGGAGACCCCAAGTGCTCAGAGCCCCAGAAGCAGGGTTGGGGGAACTGTCCCCGGCACTAGTCCACAGCATCTCCATGGCTCCAACATCACAGATGTTTTCCAGCATTGGAGGCTTATTATTTATTTGTTAGATGCCTTGAAGAACTCACAACAGGCTCATTATCACACAGGGCTAGGTTTCAGCACAGGAACTTGTCATGGCTCCTGAGCTGGGGACCAGGTCAAGACAGGCCTGCAGGAGGTGCCCACAGACTGTTAGGGGCTGTACATACTGCTGGTCTGTTGGGAAGCTCCCTGCCTGATTTCAGAAGCTGTAACCCCCCCATAGCTAAGGCTGAGTGAGAGACCTTCCGACCATAAGCCACTAAGGTTATCTCCCTGGAGACAAAGCTTATTTCCCTGGTAGGGGCACCACTTCTGCTCTTTTTACTTCATCCATAACTGGCCCCCAATTCTTGGTCGGTTAGTCAATGATGGGTAAGATTCCCCAAAGGGGGGAACTACCTAAGACAGGCACGATCACATGGGAGGCCCCCAAGGAAGGACTTCGGGGGCTACAGCAAAAGGGGGTGATGGACCCTCGCCCCTCAGCTTTGACAAAGCCTGAGTCCTAATTCTGTCTGCAAGAAGTCTCCTAATCTCTTGGATGCCTTACTTCCCTTGCCTGACTTCAGCCTGAAACAATGCCGGAGGTGGGTGCGGCCCTGTGCTGGAAAGGGCGGGTTCCCTGGGGCGATCAGGCCTATGAAAGAATACATAAAATCTTGTGAAACCTGCTTTGCTAATATCCTCAATTTAAATGATAAGGGTCCAAGCCTGAAATGAGTTTGTTTCCCCAAAGTTTTATGGCTCCTTAACTATCTGACCCTGACTCAGAATAAGCCCTCATACTTTTTTTAATGTTACTTATTTTTTGATCCTTACTGCCTGACAATGACTGATGAGCTTTACCTATATTCCTGAGCAAACTGAACCCAATAAAAGCCCATTGAAGAAAAGACTTCTGGCCCTTCTCCTTTGAGAGATTGGCCACCTTTTCTCCCCAAGCAGATCATGTCTTGGTAGACTTATTCTCATCCATGGTGGATGGGGGAGCCTTATGGGCAGAGCCCCCCATCCCACTGGTCTCCACAAGGAATCAAGAAAAGCCCCTCATGCTCTCAGAAGCCATTTGTGGACTGATAATGGAGTATGTTCACCTTTAACCCTCACTTTGGCCCCAGGGTCAAGAATCACTACTTTCTCTTTTAGACAAGCAAGGAAATAAAGCAACTTCCCCAAAGTCCTGGGGCGTCTCACTAACTCCAGACCCTGACTCTGACCCCAGAGAGACTCTAGGCCAGGCAAACAGAGTTTCTCAGAGACATGTGGGCCCAGCACTGAAACCTATCAGATGCTCACTGGACTTTTGCTGAGAAGGCACAGTTCCAGGAAAGGCCCAGAATGGGCCTTACAATTCTTTAGAATCTATCAGTGTCTGGTGACAGGGAAGGGGAAGAGGAAGGGCATGTCGCTATTCACAGAGACAAGCTCATCCCTGGGACCCTCACACCATGACCAGCAGATACAAAGAGACAGACAGCAAGGACTATTTGACACTTTGGGGACCCTCAGATCCTAGCTTCACAACTCCTGTAGAATGAGCCAATCTAGTAAGTGCTGGTGACTCTGATGAGTGAGGGGAGTGCTGGGATCAGTTGGTTTTTAAGCCATATGCACATGACCGGAGGCCACTCCCTGCCTCCTCCACACCAGGAAGCTGCATATCTGCCTGGCCTGCCCCGATCCACCATCATCTGCCCAGGAGACCACGTGGCCACAGCATGACCAACAAGGCTTTGCGGCTGACTAGGGAGTCCTGTGGGGAGTCCACCCAGCAGAAGTGTCTATTTGGACAAGGTATTTCCTTTCTCAGAATGACAACACAGTCTTGGGGTAGGGAAGTCCCACAAGGGCACAGATCAAGACCCTGAAGGGCATCAAAGGGCCCATTCTACCCAGCTCCTCAAAGCCTTTTACGCATCTTCTCCTGCCGTGGTTTGAACCTGCCACATAGTATGAACCTGTGCTGGTTTGTCCTCCAGCACAAACTGTATGGGGGCACTGGGCTGGGAGGCCATGGCTGGTGGCCACATCCCAGTCATAAGAAGGACAGAAGTGGCTTGCCTGGCACAGTCCCGCCTGGACCGTGAGGATTTTCCTGGTCAGACCTCACACTGGAGTGCACCACCCCCACACAGGGCTGGAAATGTCACTCCCGGCAAGAGGGGGCTCACTCAGTCTGCGGTGGTAGAGATCACAGGAAAATCAAAGTGAAAATGACTCCCAGCAGAAGCCTACCATTCACAGTCCCCAGAGTCCACACCCACTAGAAGACAGGTTCAGTCTTGGAGCAGAACCCAGGAGTTCCTGGGACATCTTCACATGTCCTTGCCTCTCTCCTTGAACTGGAGCATGGATCCTGCTACTATCTGTCACAGGAACCTTCACAGGGTGGGGGTCAGGGCATAAACTGGGGGATGCAAGCATCAATCAAGTACTTGGAGCTTATAGAGTATGTCCCTGTGAAGAAAAGCAGGACCTCAGAAGGCGGAAGGCCAAGAATAAGGAAGGTTCTGGAAGGAGCAACCCCAGAGAGCAGAGCAGAGTCCAGCCTATAGGGCCCAGGAGCTAGCAGAGCCAGACTGAGGACCACGCAGGCTGTGGGGAAGGAGCACTGAGTCAGCACCTGTGGTGGAAGTGAGGGACCACCTCTGGCTGTACCCCCACTTGCTGCCTTACCTGGTACCTGCTCCCTTTCTGTAGTTGAGGTTCACTTTGATCTGAGGGGGGAAGTTCCGGTCCTCGCCCTGGAATGGTGACTCCATGGGGGGTGGCGCATATCCACTGCCTGGCTGTCTCTTGTCCACATCAGCACCATCTTCTTGATCTCCATCGTATGTCTCCAGCCTGAAGGCAGGAGGGCTGGAGGGCGCAGTCATCCTAATGGGTGAAGGCTGCTCTACCCAGCTGGAACCTCCATGGAGACAGAAACATCAGAGGCCAGTCCTTCCTCCCAGCCCCAGGTAGGAGTAGGAGGTCTGGCTGGGGCTGAAGAGAGATTTAGAAGCTGAGTACAATTAGGCCCACCCACTGTGTGGAGCTCTGCCCAATGGGGTGGGGGGTGAAGGAAAGAGGAAGGCCAAGGGTGAGGAGAGGAACGGAGTGTCTGGCCTGAAGATGGCACAGTGTCCTGGAACAGGGTGGGGAAAGGGGCTCAATAGGCCTGCCACTTTGACATTGTCCCACAGGAAGGGGCCCTGAGTGTCCCTGACTTTCCCACAAGGACTTCCTGATATTGAGAGGCCACAGCCCCTTGTCAGGGGTAACGAATGTTTGTGTTGACAGCACACCCTTTCTCCACGTGCCATTTTGCGCAGTGACAGATCAAAGCGCAGTTGTGCGGTGGGGGCAGGGCACTCAGTCTCTTGCCACAGGAGGGGTGCTCTGGGGAAAACCGTTGGAAAACCACTGGTCTATCAAACCCCTCGTTTTGCTGCCAGGGTAACTAAAGCTCAAAAAGGGGAAGTAACTTCCTCAGGGTCACTACCTGTTGGCAGAACCTGGTCTAAATCTACCTCACCCTACCATGAGGTTCCTCTTCAGTTCTCAGATCTTCTGGGGCCCACCTATATTTTTGGTATGACTCATCTCTGAAGGCATTGGATGCCACCATTCTGTGCCTTAGGGTCTCTAGGGGCTGCAGAGTGGGGAGGGAGACCCCTCAATGGCTGCCCAACCTCCCTGTCACAGGCAGGGCCCCCTCAGAGAGGGGTATTGTGCCAGCTCTGGGAGCTCAGCTGACAACACCATCACATGCTCTCCGGAGAACTAAACCACAGCCTCCGCTGCAAGGCAAGGGGTAAGCCACAGTGGGGAGGGTTGAAAGGAAAAAAAGAGTCAGAGATGGGTGGGGAGACAGCAGGGTGGGAAAGTGGGGCAGGGAGCACACAGAGCACCGAAAGGGAACAGAAGATAGGGGAGTGGAGAGAGTGGGATGGTGGGTGGTGGGGAACCACCCAGTCCAGGCCAGGAGCCAAGGTCCTGGGGAACTTCCCCATGGGAGCAGGGGAGGCTGGGACTTGGTTGAAGGCTTCGACATGCAGCTTTGATTCACAATCTTTCTGCCCACCCTCGGCGTCCTTCCGGGGACAGACACCATTTAGCCTGGCTTATGCCCCCACCCCACCCCCTTCTGCCTCCCTGGATGCCCCACACAGACCACCACTCCCAAACCTCAGCAGCAACAGCTGTCTGTCCAGCCCTGTCCCCACCCTGTCCCCACTGGAGCCCCACCTGGCCGGGAAGGAAGGAGCAAAGAGCCCATTTGGGGAACCCGCCCCCATCAGTCAGGCTTGGGGACCCGGCGCCTCAGACGTCCCGGAATTGGCCCCGACTTACCTTGGCCGGCTGAGCTAGGGCGTGCCGCCCCGCCGGCTGCACGTTCGGGGATTGTGGAGCCTCGGCGGCGGCGGCGGGCCGGGCTGCGACAGGAAGTGCAACCGGGAGGGGCCACGAGCGCTGACAGCCGGGGAGCCGCAGCGCCTCCCCTGCAGGCTCCGAGCTGCAGCTGGGGGTCCACACCCCAGAGCTCCCACCAGCCTGCTGGTGGGAATCCTGGTTAACTCCCCTGTCAGGGCAGGCTGGCCATCAGGGACTGACGTTTGGACCACTGGCCACACCCTGCCCCCCTGGAGACACGCCCCAACTCCCCACCCCCACCCCTATCGCCTAGCTACTGAGGTCCCAGGTGGGGATGGGGACAGTCAGGGGCAACCCTGGGTGCTGGGGCCTTACCTCTGCGGAGGGCTGTCATAGGTGGGGTGTCTAGCCCTCGTGCACTGACATCTACCCCTCCCCTTCCTCTGCACATGTCTCCTAACAGCTCTACGGCTCTGTCTGGGAATGGGTTGATCCGTCGCAGGGCAGAGAAAGCTGGTGTGCATGGCCTCCAGGGACAGGAGAGGAGAGGCTCAACCCAGTACATGTCCCTGGGAATGCATCCACCGGCCCACCGAACAGTTTGAGGGGAATTTCCCACCTCCTGGAGTCTCCCCTAAGGCAACTAGCCAGGGCTCATTCGACTCCAGACTTCCCTTAATTAAAGGCACTTTCAGCACCAGCCAGCAGGGGGGGACAGGGAGGACCGCATGTACTGTCCTGGTCTGGACTCAACGTTGGGGCTATCATTTCTCCCCTGGGAGATCGCAGCCACCTCCAAACAGGTGTCCCAGCTTCACTCCTGCCCCACCCTCACCCTCATTATCCATTCTCCTTACAGTAACTGGAGTGATCTTCCAAAACTGAAAGCCAGATCAGCTCACTCCCTAGTTTAACTTCCCCACTCCCAACCAATGGTTTCCCTGGATGATCAGAATAAAATGCAAAGTCACCACCACCCTGTACAATCTGGATGCCCTTCTCCATCACTCTACCTTCATCTCTCATTGCAACCGTGTTATACTTTAGACCTTTGCTGCCAATATGATAGTCATTAGCCCTGCCCATGTGGCTCAGTTTGTTGGAACATTGTCCTGTAAACCCAAAGGTCATGGGTTCAATTCATATGAGAATCAACTAGTCAATGTTTCTTTCCCTCCCTTCCCCCCTCTCTAAAATCAATAAGCATGTCCTCCAGTGTGTCCCTGGGATGGAAAAAATATATAGTTACTAGCCACAGTGGCAATTTAAATTTAAATTAATTAGAACAAAATAAAATATTAAATTCTACAGTCACATTAGCCACTCCTCAAATGTTCAATAGTGACATGTGGTCAGTCAGTGCCTGTCACACTGCACAGCACAGATACAGAAGTCTTCATCACAGAGAACTCTGTTGGACAGCACTGTCCTAGATACTCTAAACACATTTTAGTCTCTCTTTTTTGGCCTCCAAGCCTTTGCACGAGCTGTTCCATCTTCCAGGAACACCTCCCCAACACACACACACACACACACAAATACTACCCTTGCTCCAGCGAACTCTTACTCATCTGTCACCTCTCCATTTAAAACATCACTTTCCCACCCTGATTGGTGTGGCTCAGTTGGTTGGGCATTGTCCTGCAAAATGAAAGGTCACCAGCCAGCTCGATTTCCCATCAGGGCACATGCCTAGATTGTAGACTCATATAGAAGGCAATGGGTCAATGTTTCTTTCCCCCACTTCCTCTTTCCCTTCCCCTCTATAAAAAATAAAACAAAACAAACAAACAAAAACACACATCATTTTCCCTGGGTAGCCTGTCCTAGACCCTGGACTGGGTCGGGAGTCCACACTATGTGTTCTCGTGCACTTTGTAGTTCTCTGATCATAACTTATTATCCATATTGTTAACATTTATTGTCTGGCTTCACCTTTAACAATAACAAGTGCCTATTGAGTACTACTCACTATGTGCCAGACACTATATTGAGTACTTTACGTTGAACTCTCAGAGTAGCCTCATTTCACAGGTGAGGAAACTGTGGCTGGGCAAGGTGAGGTAACTTCTGAGGCCACATGGCTGGGATTCACATCCAGAGCCATACCCTTACCCACCAAGCTTTCCAAGGGATAAGATGTTGCTTTTTTTAAATGTGTCCCAGCACCCAGAGCAGTACCCAGTTGGTACACAAGGCTTTGAATGACTGAGTGGCTAATCATAATGTGGAGGAGATTACCATACTGTTGGGAGGAAACTGGAGACTAAGTGGAGACTGTCAAGTCTTTCAGAGGCATCACCACATCAGGTGACAATGATGATTGGGCAGACAACCCAATATGCAAAAGCAGCTTATAAAAAGTTCTCTGATTGGTAGCCATAAAGGAAATCCAAAACCACTATGAGATACCACTTCACATTCACTAGGATGGCCAGAATAAAAAAAATAATAATAAAAATAGATAATTACAAGTATTGGTGAGGATGTGGAGAAATTGGAATTTCTCATAAACTGCTAGCATATTGTAAAATAGTGAAGCCATTTGGGAAGAGTCTGGCTATTTCTCAACAGATTAAACAGAGTTACAATATGATCCAGCAATTCTACTCAGGTATCACTCGAGAAATGGAAACATATATCCATACAACACTCATACACAAATATTTACAGCAGCATTATTTATAATAACTGAGTGGAAAGAAACCACCCTTACCCACCAAACTCTCCAAGGGGGAAGATTTTGCTTTTCCACTGTCCATCAACTGACAAGGGGATAAATAAAATGTGGTCTCTTCATATGATGGAATATTATTTAGTCATAAAAAGGAATGAATTATTGATACATGCTACAACATGAATGAAACTTAAAAAAATTAGGCTAAGTGCCTGGCTGATGTGGCTCAGTGGATTGAGTGCTGTCTATGAATCAAAGAGTTGCCAGTTTGATTCCCAGTCAGGGCACATGCCTGGGTTGCAGGCCAGGTTCCCAGTAGGAGGCCCTTGAGAGGCAACCACACACTGATGTTTCTCTCCCTCTCTTTCTCCTTCCCTTCCCCTCTCTCTAAAAATAAATAAATAAAATCTTTTAAAAAACAATAAAAATAAATTAAAAATTAGGCTAAGTGAAAGAAACCAGTCACAAAAGATCTCATATTGCATCATTCCATTTATACGAAATGTCCAGAAATCATAGGGAAATCCATGAAGACAAAAAGCAGATTAGTGGCTGCCTAGGACAAGGGAATTATGGGGAAATGGGGTGCTAATGGGTACAGGGCTTATTTTGGGGATGATGAAAATGTTCTAAATTTGATTGTGTTGGTGGTCGCACAACTCTGTAAATATACTAAAGACTCCACCAGCCACACATCCCAACCCAGCCAAACTGGACCTTCTGGTCATGCCTCTGGCCAAGGTTTTAACAGACTTCACTAAAAGCCATTTCAAATGGGGCACACCATGGGAACCATGGTTTTAATGGTTCACAAATTTGCTGGGGATAAAGGCTACTTAACAAAGGAAGACCTAAAAATATTCATGGAAAAAGAGGTGTTACAGGGTGTAGTTAAGAGGGGGGCCCCAAATAGGGATTTGGAATGGGGTCCAGAACTCAAGGTGTCTAGAAAATATTAGAAAGACATATAAGATGTCCTCACCCCTTCCCCCCATAGGTGTGAGTTGGGGGAAGGGACAAATGGAACAGGGCCATTGAGAACTGTTTTGCACAGCAATAGCTTTGCAGCTAACCTCTGGCATGGTCATTTAAGATATCTATAACCTTTAACTGGTTGCATAGATATGTTAAATAGCTGTGGCCATGCTCTGAGCCAGGGGGATGGAAATAACTCCCCCCCCAAGACTTATATAACTAGGGGGTAGGTCCCCCGAGTTACAGCACCTGCATGAGAGCTTGCAGAAGACTGGCTCCATGATATGGGGCCACGCCTGCCCAGACTCACAATGGCAGCCCAGTAAAGCTGGAAGGATAAGGGAATGCTGGCAAGTGTAGCCAATTGTGGGACTATAACCAGAAAAGACACCGGCATTCGGGCTACCTGTCACTACCAAATCCAATCAGCAATGACAGCGATTGAATCTTTTATGGGCGCTTTATTCAGATGGCCGGCGATCCAAGAAGATGACGGGTTCATACCCTAACAAACCATCTTCCCTTCTCTTTCCTGGCCAGATCTTTTATAAGGGGGTGAGGGAGGACAAACAAGGTGTGGTGAGGGCTTTGAAATTCAGGGAGGATAAGGTGAGCGAAGCTGCAGCATTCCTGTTCTCGGCAGTTAGCTGTTCCCAAGTGTGTGTGTGGGGGGGGGGGGTGTCCACACAAAAGGCCCAGATGCCTCCAACTTGTTCCCAGGTGGTAATCTCTAGCCAGTGCCCCAAGAGGTCGGTTGCTTTTCCCAGGAGCCAGGATGGGCCTTATCTGTAGCTTCTGAAACAAAAGCTTAGCATATACATTACTTGCTAAACTTACAGCTTTTTACCTTAAGCTAAAATTTTCCAAGTCTTGAGTCCCCTATCAGGAGGAGTCGGAAATGGGGCTGCAGAGGAAGATTGACGTGGGGATTTAAACCCAGACTCGGCAGCCATTGAAGAAAGGACCACAACCAGTGCAGGAGGAGAGAACCATTTGGTCTTTAGCAGAGTGGGGACTTCCGCAGCCTGTGAGAGAGAATCGCCATGCAGCTTTGCCAGAGTGGGGACTCCCACTGCCATTGTGCGGGGAGGACCACGCAGCTGTGTCAGTGCAGAGAGAGGACCACTCACTTATGGCACTGCAGAGAACCATGTGGCTGTGGCAATAGAAAGGAGATCCACGTGGCTTTGCCAAAGCGGGGACCCCCACAGCTTTACAAGGGGGAACCACCACCTGCCTTTAGCAGAGATCCTGGATACACAGCTGATGGTGCCGGGAACTGAGGGAGGCCTACCAGCCGAGATGGATTACTGAGAAGAAGCGGGGGCAGCCTGAGCCACAGACTTCTATTTCTTTTCCTGAGATACGGTACCCCAGACTGGGCAAAGGAGGGAGGGAAGGACTGTGGGTGTTTTAAGGGACTTTGGGATTTTGATGAAGACATTAGGTCACTACTTTAAGTCTGTATAGCATTAAACAAACATTTCCTTTTCTTTTCACAAATCTCTGGCATTGAGAGATGTCTTTCCTATAAGGCAGTGGACATAACTAACCTGGGGGGTTCCTTTC